CAGGGTCGCGCGCTCAACCCTGCTTCCGACTAAAGTTTTTTTTCTAGTCGACTATTAGTTGCTTATTTAAGCCATAGTGGACAAATCGCCCCTTTATATTGATTTAATAACTTAAATAGGCTATACAGGATAATGATAAAGGCGCACTCAAGCGCACAAAGGCGCACTCAAGCGCACGAGCCGGCAAAGTGAATGTTGTAAAAATAGCAAAGAGGCATTTAATTGTTTATTAATAAACTGGGTGTTTTCTCTGCGTCACTGCAAAGATGAAGATGCGATGCGGACTCGCCATGAACGAATAAAGATATAAAGACATGGAAAAGTTCTCCCGTTGGCGCCCAATGGATGAACTTTTCCCCACACTTTGAGCGGCGACTACCATCTGTAGTTAGGGGCCCCCTAGTGTCGGCGGGACCTAAGCAGCCGCTTAGTTAACTCATAGGGAGAGCGGTGCACGCGGCACGAACTACACAGTTTTTGAACATGCGTATTCTCACAGCCTTTCGAAAAACTGGGACATTCAGTGTCCGGGAGAGCGCTTAAATTCCCGGGACAGGTTATAAAAAGAAGGACAATCCCGGTAAAACCGGGACAGGTGGCAACCCTAAGCGCATTAGTGATAAAACAATACTAACATTAGGGCCTGCCTCACATATCGCGTCTTTTGCGCACTCAAGTTCGTAATTTCAAATGTAGCTACTCATTTTTCCAAGCGCGTCCGCGCCGCATCAAGTTAAAAACAATATTCATACCCTATTAATATAATAGTGTCACTAACGTTATATTAGATCTGTCTAAATGGCACTGTTACAGTTGGTCATATAAAACATAACGAGACACTTACCGCAGCCGCAGGTGATCCACTTTGTCCTGTCTGCTATAGATGGGATGGCAGCACACGTTTATTTTCCGTGTGGCAAATTCCATTTTTTTCAAAATAGTCGTCCTCATTGAAATGTACCGAGCAAACATAATGTCCTTGGTAATATCTTTAGGTGTGTTTTTGGATCAATATCCATAGCAAGTAGCCATTTCTTCATCAGATCAGCGTTTTTAGTTGGAATTCTGTGAAACATCATGGTATTTACCTCCCCTGTTTATTGCCGCAGCTATTTACAATACAGTGAAAACCCTTCTTTTCCATCCCCGGCAAGCTCTTTACCAGGATCTTGCTCACTCGTGCTCTCCCAGCCATCAAGAGCAGCCGCCGTCCCCAGCAGGCTGGCTTCATGCCTCAGCGCTCCACAACAGATCAAATCTCCGCAATTCGCTTGCTTATAGAGAAGACCTATGAATTCCGTAAAGATCGCCATCTTTACATTGGGTTCGTAGACTTGAAGGCTGCCTTTGACACTGTCTGCCACTCTTCACTGTGGAGTATCCTACATGCTCTTGGAGCACCACCCAAGATTGTTGCCCTGCTTAAGCTGCTTTATAGTAACACACAGAGCTGTGTCCGCATTAATGGCAGAGACTCAGACTGGTTTTCCATCTCTAGCGGCGTTCGACAGGGCTGTGTGGCTGCCCCTGACCTTTTCAACTGCATCATTGACCATCTGATGTCCAGGGTTTGTGAACGGGCCCCGGAGTGACCCTAGGCAGCTACCATCTGACTGACCTGGAGTACGCTGACGATACCATCCTGCTCAGCACGTCCCTCAGCCAGCTGAGAGATACTCTGGGCATATACAGTGAGGAGGCTGAGAAGCTTGGCCTCCAGGTGAGCTGGATAAAAACCAAGTACATGTACATCGGTGATGGACCGCATCCAATCCCCCTGCGGTTTGGCAATGATATTGTAGAACCTGTCAGCAATTTTGTATATCTTGGATCCCTAGTGACAAACAACGGGGACCTAAAACCAGAGATTACCCGCAGAAGAGCCCTGGCTGCGTCAGCCCTGCAGTCTCTCTGGAAACCACTCTGGCGGCACCAAACCATCTCCCGCAGGACGAAGCTCCGGATTTATAACTTAGCAGTACTCTCCATCCTGCTCTATGGCTCTGAGACCTGGCCCCTAAATAAGACACTGGCCGCAAGACTCGATGGCTTTGATAGCAGGGCCCTCAGGACCATAGAAAACATCAGGTGGCCCCAGCGGGTTTCCAATCAAGTGCTTAGAGCCCGCACGCGCCAGCCCAGAGCATCTTGTCTGGCTGCGCAACGCCGTACCCGCTGGCTCGGCCACGTCCTCCCGTCTCCTCTTGACCATCCGACAAGAGCCATTCTCCAGTTTGATCCGAGAGCTGCAGGCTGGAGACGACCACGAGGTAAGCCTCGCACCCGATGGCTTGACGTCCTTGCGGGTGACCTCCAACAACACGGAGTCGCTATGGAGGATGCAGAGCAGCTGGCACAAGATCGCCGGCACTGGAAAGAACTGGTTCATCTGGTCGGCTCAACGCACAGGGACGGGATGTGAACCCATACCCAATGCAGGAGCTTAATAATAAAAAATAATAATAGCGTTATATTTTGCCAATGAACTAAAATCGAAACCATTATATGGCTTTTTGCCTTCATAAAACAGCACAAGACTTTTAGAATAGGCATTCTGTGTGCACAATATACAGATTAATAGAAGAACAGAAGAGAAATTAAAATTTTTTAAATAAAAATCTATAAGAAAGTGAGACATTGTGGCTTGATTTGTTTTATTAATATTAATTTTTCATGACCAAAATAATATTATGCAATGTGAAGAGACTACAGGTTACAACAAGCATCATATATTTAAAAAATACAATAATAAAAAAACACATTGTTGTAAAGGTTGTTTCAGATCAACACCTGCAATTGACCACTAGGTGTCACCATGTAGACGGGTGTCGGATTGATTCGAAGCCTCAAAACAATATAGCACATTTGCTTCAACTGTTTCATTGCTTCACAAAGCCTCGATCTGCCCATCACTAGAATTCACACGAAGATAACTTTACTTCCAAAGTAACAGGCAAGGATACAGACGGGAGCAACACAGGGTAACATCAACATTGACCAACAAAGACTGACTGAATGAGGGAGAACAAAATACAAGCAGGAATCAAACATAATGATGTGAAGACAGGTGATACTGATGAACAAGACGAGGAACAGGTGGCTGATGAGGGTTTAGGAGTGGAGACAAGAGGATCCTGGGAAGTGTAGTGCTGATGACAAGACAGACTGGTGCAGAAGAGGACTGTGACACCACCAAAGTAGCAGTGCTTCACCTTCAGAGAATAGTTCCCAGTATTCATATGTTTAAAAGATGTCTGTGTCTCATTTGACTTTGTTTTTTGTACACTCTGTGACTATACAAATCACAACATGTAAATAGAAAAATGTTTGTGTTATTTTGTCACTCAATTGGATTAGTATGCCAGCTGCAACCATTTACATCCAGTCTTTGTGCTAAGCTAGGCTAGCGGTGGGTGCGTCAAACAGACTTATAGCACGCACGGAGATGAAAAAGGTATGTATGGACTTATCTAACTCTGGGGGATTAGGTGAATAGGCTGAAGTCCCAAAAAGTCAGAGTGTTCCTTTAAGTCTCTGAAAGATATATATATATATATATATATATACTTGTAAATTACAATGCTACTATATTTTGTGCAGGGAATTAGCATATTTTGTTATAAATACAAAATCCAATAAATTACATTTATAGACAAATAAGATTCAGGCTTAAAGAAATGCTGCCTGCATGTGCTATTGGATATTTTCTATTTCACACTTCTGAAGCCTATTTTGTAAAATGTTTATTGTTGTCAATGGATGGGAGGCTAAAAATAATTTTGGCTTTAATGAGCATTCACCATGCTATATAGATAGCTTGCTAATTATTCTGGAATTTCAGTCAAATACAGGCTATTTTTGCTATACAATGTGTTTCAAATAATTATTCATACATGTAAACATGCAATTACAAGATAAGGTGATGTAACTGTTGTGAAATAAAAGAATAGTCACAGGAGCAATCTTTCTCCCTTCTGCCATGTGTTTATGGCACGCTCAACTCGGGAACTTGGGTATCAAAATTATCCCCAAGCTTGCCAGTGGTAAATATGACATGATAGGGTGTTTAAATCCATTTTTTAAACCAGGAAACCCGTATTAATTCAGATGTGAAGGCAGCAAAAATCCCTAGCTTACCACTCATACATGACTGTGGTGGCGTTTATGTGCATTCAACTGGTAAATGCGATCTTTTCTACGTGCTTTGAACACACCTTAAGAAAAGAAACGGACTATAATTTTATTCTCACTATAATAACAGTGTGTTACTATGGTATATTAATTAAGGTATATTAATGCTGATACAGCATATGAAATAATTATTCACAGATTCATTTGCATGCAAATGTTTAAAAATCCAGTGCCCAGATTTTACTTTAAGTCTCTCACATCTTTCTGTCCATATACAGGTTTCTCTCTTGCAGGATCTTCTTCTAATCCTCGAAAACGTCAGGTGCGATTTTCAGCACGTCATGACATCCTGCTCCTACGTGAGGTGATAGCACAGAACCCCTTCACTTCTAAAGAGTCAGGCCGGATCTGGGCAAGGGTGGGTGAAATTATTACTGCTACCCTACAGGACGAGAACTTTGAGGTGGATGGACGCAGATGCAGAGAGAGGACTATGCTACTACTGGATTATTATAAAAAACAGGACTTTGCCAGTCTGCGCAGGTTAGGAGAGGTCAACTTCACTTGTTTTCCTGCCTTGAAGGTGCACTAAGTACATTTTTATATTTGAAATAAGTGAATTGAAGTAAATAAATGATTAGTACTTTACTCTTTAATGTTTGTACTTTTACAATTTCACCCATAAATAAAATAAACTTTGACTTTTCAGATGTAATAAATATTCCTAGGTAACACTTTAGATTACAGCCCACAAAGTAGATTTGATCCGATGGGCATTAAAATGAACATTTTTTAAAGAATAACCCGACTCAAGACAGACCCGATAAAATTAGGTAAAGTCCAACAGCATTTATTTATTTACTTATTTATTATTACTTAATATTATTGCCTGACCGATGAATATAAGTTATTTCTGAGTTTGGCTTTTAATTGGGACCAGTGGGAAAATAAAAGTATTAATGTGATAAAAACTAAAGGCGTAAAAAACAGGAAAATTTAATTATTTATACCATAACTATTTTAGAACTAAAGGGTACTTGTTCTACTATTATGATAGGCAACAATTTTACGTTTTGGAGCAATTTAGTGTGAACACTGCATACATTTTTGTAATAATAGCAACCAATATGTATAGCCTAGGCATTTATATATATATATATATATATATATATATATATATATATATATATAATTTCAGGGTACATAACTGAAACTTAAGGCTTAAGTACACATGACTAATGAGTTAATTGACAAGACACACCTGAACAGAATACTAAATCAATTTGGAAACTAAACAGCAGGTAGATCAGAACTAAACTAACAAGCTAAAATTTCTATTGTTTGTATTTCTGTTTGATTAAGTTTCATTTTCAGGTTCTAGTTTGTCACTGCAAAAAACACTGACTTTAGGACCAGGCTTTTTCTGGAATTGTTTTCTTGAACTGCAAAATAGCACAAGGGAATGTTTGCACCAAAACACGCCTCCTTTTTGCGCCGACCCGCCCAGGGAGCGCAAGTTCATTTTCTAGTTTACCGACGTGCGTCTGTGGAGGGAAAAGCCCGCTTTGGATGCAAAATAGGAATGATACAGGCGTCAGTGTACAAAGTCATTTGCGCCGGGTACAAGATAGGGCCCATTGATACCAAGGCATAGTTACAGGCTAAGTAGTGTTTGTTACCCTCTTTTTCTATTAAGTTACAGGGTACAGTAAGTGTGACATCTGCAGGCTGTAAATTAAGGGCTTTTTACCCTCTCATTCCATGAAGTAACAGGGTAACTCTGTTTGTTTGCTTGATATAGTCTAATAGGCTGACCACCTTTTTCTTTTGTCTGTCTACTATTTGTATTATTTTTTTTCTTGAAAGGCGGTATAAAAAATGAACATAAAAGTAGCACGCTTTATACCTTTTTTTTTGGTTGCACTTGCTTAAAGGGTTAGTTCACCCAAAAATTAAAATTAAGTAATTATTAATTACTCACCCCCATGCTGTACCAACCCCGTAAGACCTTCATTCATCTTCGGAACACAAATGAAGATATTTTTGATTAAATTTGAGAGCTGTATCACTACATAGGCTGCCTAAGGGAATGACACTTGACGGCCCATAAAGTCATTAAAGAAAATGTTTAAATATTCCATGTGCCTACAGTGGCTCAATTATAAGTTTATCAAGTGACTAGGCTACTTTTTGTGCGAAAAAAACAAACATAAATAACGACTTTATTCGACTATTCCATTACGTCCTTGTGGGCCTTGAGACGAGAGTTGAAGAGATTTCCAGAACGCATGCGCGAGAACTGAGATGAGGACGTTCTTCTTCGACTACTTCTTGTTACCGGCTGCTCACCGCTTAATATTACCGCCAGCTACCATATAAGATGACAAGCTGATATAGCTGGAAGCGCAAAACTTTCTGTTTACAAGCAGAGGAAGATGCACGGTGTACATATGAAGATTTCAGATGCAAAAGCCTCTAAGTGCCATTGGAAATTTTCTTCTAAAATGATCATTTTTATCAAGCTTATATATTCAAGTTCAGTAATTTCACTTAAATGACAATTAATAGGTAATCCTCATTGCAATTTAAGTGAAATTACTGAACTTAAATATACAAGCTTGATAAAAATGATCATTCTAGAAGAAATTTTCAAATGGCACTTAGAGGCTTTTGCATCTGAACTCTTCATATGCTTTTCAATTAGACACTTAACATCCCTCTGAACATTTCTCTCTGGCGCATTCACAATAGGTCTACTGTGAAGATCGTAAGTCAGCATCGTCAACTTCCATCTTTATTAATAAACAATTAAAATCTCTCCTCGCTATATTTGACATATTGATAATCAATGCTTTTGCCGGTTCTTTGTGACAGCTTTTAGGTGATTAATTATCTGCAGCGCCGCCGCTACCCTTACATGTTAAATAAACGCATCACCACCGCATCAAAAACATGGTTGCGTGATGATTTTCCACTGGCCAGTGCTTGCACAGAGGCTGAAATCATGACTCACGGCACTCCTGTAAAAAATAAATCGCTATACAAACATATCAGGCACTGCCATTTAGTCTTTATTTACAAACTTGGACACCACAACACACGGCTATTGACTGACCACGAACAGGTAACTTAGCCTACTTGTATTTTTCATTTGTTAATGTCTTGCGGTCTTGCTGTTTTGTTGTTTGTTTTACAATTAAAACTAAAAGTCTGTTGTAACACAAGCCTTACTGAACATGTAACGAGTAAGTATTACTGAAAATTGATTAGTAATAACTTACACTACTGCGTTACAGCAAAAAGTAATATTTTACTGTAATGCATTACTTTTGTAACACGTTACTCCCAACACTGCTCCCGAGCCGAGTCCCTCTCCTCCACCTCGCTGCCCCACCTCAGGTACGTCTGTGGTTCCCTGGCCCCTGGCACAGTGTGTGTAAGCCTGATGATGCTTCCTACCGTTCCAGCTGGCCCTGAAACTTTCAGCAGACTCGGCTTGCGATTCATTTCACTTGGCTTCGCCCTGGCTCAGTGATATTCATCATACCTAGGTGTTTAGCTGAGATGCTTCTAAGATTAGTGATATTTATCACACCTACGTGTTAAGCGCTGCTCCAGTCCTGTGTACACACGTCACAGTCCTACTGGCGAAGGACGCAATGTAGCCTCCCCTACAGCAGATATGAAGACCGGTTTCTATAAACCCATACTTTATTGTACCCTAGATATGTGGTGGGTTATGGCCATCTTGGACCTCCATTCAATTGCTACACAGAAATGCATTTTCAAATGCTCCATCCCCAAGGTTGGCCTGTGCGTTCGACCTGAAGGACAGTACTTCAGATCTCTATCCTTCAGCTCCACAGACCATTCTGTGTTCTGGCATCGAGGGTACAAATTATCAGTTCAAGTACTACCCTTCGAGTGCTCCATAGCCAGTTGGGTCTTCAGGTCAACTGGGAGAGAGTAATCTCACCCACGGGCTGAGTATCTCTTTTCTCAGTTCAGGAGAAGAAGAAGTATTTTCAAGAACTTTTCAAGAAGTGTTAGGCTAGTGCTAGAAGTTAGAAAGGGTCCCACTGAAAATTCCAGAGGCTCCTGGGGCATATGTCAGACACAGCCTCTTGGCTTCCTCCATATGAAGACCGCTTCAGCACTAGTTTTATGATCGAGTCCTGAGGTGGCCGTGGCTATGGCACACCCTGTGTGATAAAAGATCTCCCCGGCCTGCCGCCAAAATCCCAGCCCATTGTAATGACTCATGGGCAGGTCTGATCATAGGGAATTTGCATATTATAATGAATAATTGATAATTAATAATTATTCATACAAGTCTGGATCAGACCAGTCCTACACACCATCCAACATTAATAAATCGCCCGGTAAGGGATGATATCTTATTTTACCTGCATTCATGCATGTGTATCCTTGCACATTAACCACAAGTTGATTGCAATTAATTACACAGATCACGTTTTACAAAACAGGTAAAATTAATTATCTCAATTAATTTATAGATTTCCAAGAAAATTAATTCTGTGGCCACAAGAATTAAGTTTCCTGCTCTATAAACAAATACCCTTTAAGGTATCTTTAATTTGTAAAGCTCGTAGCTTTGATCTAGTCATTTCAGAGAACGGTATTATGAGCAGACACAGTAAGTCAGTCAAAATCAATATAATGAATTTAATAAGGCAGAACTACTTATGCATTTACTACGTTACAGGAATACATGTATTTACAAACATTAAAACAGAAAACGAACGCTAGAAGTCTGGACAATGGAAACACGTGAGAATGAGCGGGAGAGAGAGAGAGCGTATAGAAATTGGCTCAATTCACCTGGACAATCTACCTTCTGAGCAACAACACGGAAAAACATCTTAATGCTTCTTAGAAGCTTCGTAGATAGGTATACTTGCACACTTTCTTGGACTCTCTGCGTCGCGGCATTCTTGCACGGCCCTGTCTGGCCGCGTGTTGAATGTATGGGCTTTGTGTCCTCCGTGAGCGTGTCACGTGGTGCTTGGCGCGTGTGTTTGACAAAGGTTTAAAGTCTTTGAGGTAACGTTACCAAAGGAAATATTTCGGCTAAGTTCACTTCCTTTCCTGGGAGGTGAACTTGGTAGGACACTTAAGAAAAAGACTAAACTTTTAGATGAAACAAAAGTACAGAAAGGATTTCCTGAGGGGAAATTGAGTCGGAGACTACATTGTGCAGGCAGACATGAAGACCAGCGGGGTAAGAGGCGGAGACTGCGTTTGTGTCCTTCTTTTAAATGGACGCAGACCATGCCCCTTCTGGAGCAACCTTGACCAATGAGATTCGACAAAACTCTGGCGCGAAGGCTTTCCTGTGCCTTGTCAAAACATTATTTACGACAGGGTGAGTTTTTAGTCTTTTCCTTCCTTCTTTTCCACAAGGTGGAAAACATAGTAAACTATGTTTTACTGAATATTTCTTTGCATATTCGAGTAGTCCATACCACGTGCATTTTGGAGGTATCAAAAACATTGTGTGAAAGTCAAAGGAATATGCAGTG